AAACGTTTAAAGCGTATTGCTAAGGATTGAAAATTTAAAACAGTGTTCCACATAATAAAGTTCTTTTATATAATAACATTTTTTATTATTAATTTAAGCTGTGAATAATGATGCAGACATAGAAGACAATATGGAAATTGAAACAAATGAAATAGAAATGACCATTTGGAAGAATGAAAACAAAGAAAATCCAGAATCTGGTTATGGTTCAGAAAAGCAACCATCTAATGTTACAAGTCCATCTCTAAGTATCACAGAACTTACTACATTGATGAATAACACTCCATTAGCTGATCCTGACAGACAAATGGATGCTGATCAAATTTTGGATTCTGATAAACCCATGGATTTGGATTCTGTAATACCTGGTAGTCCTGCTAATAGTCCAAGTTCACCTCAAGGGTCATCACTTGATTCCATGCGTGCCAATGTCAGTCCAGATTACATGGATGTTGGCACTGATAGTGCAAATGAAAATCCGGTATTGATTGAAATAAAATAAATTATTTATTATTTATTCATAATGAAGACATTGAAGTTTATAGTCTCGAGTGAATTATATAATTGTTATCCAATTGTATATTTTATGTATTAGGAACGTAACAATCCTACACCAAATGTTAGTGATAACAACAGTGATGGGCTGTTTGATGATTCAAAAAGTGAAGAAGATATAGAAGATGAAGAAGAAGGTGAATTTTCCCAAGAATGTCCACAAGCAACATTGCAACCACAACCAAAATGTAAAGATAGTGAATGCTCAGTTTTGACTTGTCTTAATCAATTCACTGCCTCTGAAATAATGACTGGTAATAATAAAGTKTCATGTGAAAGGTGCACTGAACAACACAAAAAAAGTAAGATTTTAATATAAATTATAAAGCTTTTGTTGAATTGTGATTATTTTTATATTATTTTTTATAGAAACAAACGAAGATAAGACAATTTATCGTCAAAGTACCAAACAAATGTTAATTAGTTCTCCTCCGGCTATTTTAATACTGCATTTAAAACGGTTTCAAATGTGTTATTCAACTACACGTAAAATGACAAGAGATGTATCATTTCCTTGGGTTTTGGATATTGCTCCTTATTGCTCTGTTAAATGTCAAGTTAGTAACAATACTTATTAATTATWATATATTTTTTAAATAGATCACTAATATTAATTTTTAATTTATTTATTTAATTAGAACAAGTTAAGCCCTGGTCAAAACCGAATATTGTACTCTCTTTATGGTGTAGTTGAACATAATGGTTTTTTGCATAGTGGTCATTATCTTTCATACGTAAAAGTATGGTTCATTTGTTATGAAAAGCTAATTGATTTTGTTACGTTGTGTAATTGTATTTTATATTGTTTAGGTCAGGGATTCAGTTAAAGATGATAGCTACAGATATTCATTTTTAGAAGGCAGTAAAACCAAACCACCTAAAATTATTGACAGCAACGATGATGCTTCACATTTAGTTCCGAGTGGTACTTGGTATTGTGTCAGTGATAGTATGGTTAGACAAGTAACACCAAATGTTGTTCAAAATTGTCAAGCTTACTTATTGTTTTATGAACGAATTTTATAATTTTGTGTGTGTGTATATATAATATATATATATATATATATATTATTGTCTTATTTGAAGTGAAAAAATTCAGTTAATTAAATAGAATAATTATTTTTCAACAATTTGTATGAATTTATTAATACATTTTATTTATTATATATATTTCTAAAACTTATTGTTGTAAATAGTCACTTTATTATGAAAAATTAAAATATTAAGTAAATTATTTTTTAAATATATCTAATAATTATTTTATTTTTACACTGGATTTCTTTCTTTCTTTTTTATTTTAGTTCAATGTCAGAGTGATTAATATACTTGTTGATTAAACAATTAGTTGACCAAGAATTATATTTAAAAAGAAAAAAGATAATGTGTAAGAAATATTATGTTATACCTATAATATATATACATTAATATTATTTTTTTACATAAATAAATGTGTAATCAATACCATATAAAATTACTTTATGATGCATAGTTATTTATTTGTAAGAATGATACATTTATTTATATTATTACTCAGTGCTTGAAGCTTGAATTTGAGGGGTGGACGGAATACTCTTTCTTTTTATAAAAATATTTTTATTCAACCTATTCTAGCCAACAAGAAATTTGAATCATCAATTTTTTTCCAATTCAAGCACTGCTGTTACCCCAGTACCTCAGCGTTTTTTTCTTTAACGACAAATACTGAACATAGATTGCAAAAGAGTTTTGAAAAAGAGTCATGGATCAGATTTAGCTGGATATATTTAAAAGGGTGCTCAGTTTAATTAATGTTACCATAAACTAAGTTCTAAAATGCCAAGACCCAAGACTAGGCTTCATAAAACATATATTGATTTATTCTTTGATAAGAATACAAGGTGTATTGCAAGGATTTATCCATTGAGATATCTCCTGAAATTATGAAATTATTATTATCCACTTATTGATAATTCTCAAGTACACAATATTAATATTCCTAACTTTGATCTTTCTTGCAATTGCTTTTTCAACGTTTATGATGTAGTTAGTAGTTTGCTTATCCTAACTGAAAAATGTTAAGTCTGTTAGACCTGATGGCATATCAGGTATTTTCCTTTATAACTTATAAGGTATGTGTTATTATTTGACATTTCCTTTTTTGTTTCTTTTCATATTATGTTTGCTTGGTAAGGGGCTGAACTTTGGAAATTGTCCCCCATCACTCCCATTCTGAAATCAAGGGACGCTTCTTGCGTCTCAAATTATCGACCAATCTCCATTATTTCTCAGACTTCTAAAATATTCGAGTCGATTATTCTAAGAAAAATTCAACCTTTGGTTAATATTGAATTAATTTAAGGTTGAAGTTTGACTCWTGGAGTCATGGAGGAGMAACGAGGATTCCGCCCTCGTTGTTTAACTGCAATTTGTAATTTCCTATTCGATTCTTTCGCAACTCATTCTCAAGTTGACGTAATTTATACCGATTTTTCCAAAGCTTTCGATCGTGTTGACCATTATGCCCCTACTCAWGTTTTACGTGAATCACAATTTGGTGAACCACTTCTGTCGTGGTTTGRCTTGTTTATCCAAAATAGGTAGCAGTGGGTGAAAATCCATGGTGTTAAGTCAGATGCTTTTACAGTCACCTCCAATGTTCCCCAAGAAAGACACCTTTCCTCACTGATTTCCTCTATTTTGTTAATAGTGCAAATCATATACTACAGCACGCAAATCTTGTGGTTTTCGCAAATGAGATAAAATTATTTTTCCGTAGAAGTACTCTTAATGATTGCTCCAAATCGATTTAGACCGTCTTACTTCCTGGGCAGTGGCCAGTGGGTATACAAACTTGGTTTATCTTTTAATACTTCTAAATATCATTCTATGAGCTATGACTTTCTCTCATCGTAGAAGTCCTATCTGCTTTGATTACAGCATCGATAGAACAACAATCTCTATCCTCGATGGCTCGATAAGTCAATTTCCTACTTGGGTTTTGTATTAAATATATTTTACTCCTGCCTTGAATCCACACATGCATATCGAGACTATTTGTTGTAAAGCTCTCAATGTGGATCTATTATTAAAGACCCCACAGCAGGAACACGAACTTCCATGTTAGAACGTGTTTAAACGTAAATTTTTAAATTTCTTCAATTACGAACTTTGGATTAATTGTCCCCCCACGATTACACACCCAAGTCCWGTGGCGGATATGAGGGGGGTAGGGGCTACGTGGCGATTACCCCTCTCTAGGGAATTTTTTTACTTAAATTATAGTGCAGTATCATAAAATATGACTTATGAACATGAAATTCATAAGTCATAGTATAACATTAAACTCATAAATAAATGATACAAAAAAAGGTATTTTTTTTAATATGAAAATCGGAAATATGTATTCAGTTTCGTCTTTGTTATTACTTATCAATCTATGATACCAATTGGCAATTCGCCCTCTCCTCAAATGATCTTCAGATCTGCTACTGCCCAAGTCTCGGCCTAATACATTGATTCTCCTGCTCTTTCATATTCATCATGCTATGTCTCTTCCCGTAGGACACACAAAACATGTCCATTCCTCCATCATCTACGCTTTATGGCTCAAATCAAATACATCTCTGGTGCGTTGTATGTCCCTTGCCAACTCCGACGTTTCCTTCTAAAGTTTTACCTAAACTCTAAACAATTAGAATTTAAATCTCGATTTATTTCAAACTTAATTATTATTATTCATATTTGTATGTGATTTGTATTTAGCGGAATTATCACCATTTTTTACCAAAATTTATTCCACAAACATATACCATGTTTTTTCATAGGTACACAATAAATTATTATCCTGCTTTTTTATTAGACTTCCAAGAACAAGGACTACAAATATTTCATGTTTTGGTTAAAAGTTTAAAACATAATTGAAAATAGCCATATTGAAGACTCTATTTTTCTAAACTTAACGTTTCAATATTTTATTTTTCTTAATATCACAATTTTTGATCATTTTTCTAGTTTCCAGAAAAACTGTATTTACTATTTAATACCAATATAGGTACCATAGTCCATATTATCAGTTATTTGTTCTATGGTATTATGGGATATAGCAATAAAACATTTTTCTTTAAATTAGAAAAATTATTAAAAATCGTGAGATGGATGAAAATAACTTTATTTTACGTCAAAATATTCAGAAAAATAAACTCAACTACGTGGATATTTTCAATTTTATTTTAAATAATAATAAATTATTTCTTTGACTTTTTACTAAAAAATTAAATTAAATTAAAATATAAAATATTTGTAGTCCTCGTCTAAATAACATGAAACGTTTGTATCTAGGTACCACGATTTAAGATATACAGGTTGGCCCATCGACCTATACCGAAATGTTTAAATTTAAAAGTATGAAGATGAGATTGACTCACAGCTGTGGAAAACGACGCTAGCGCYCTCTACTATCACAATTTAAATCTCGAACTAATTATCAGTTTATCACACTTAATATTTAATAATTTGAATTTATGGTATATGGCCATATTGGTTAGGTAATGGGGATGGAATATTGGAATTATTATAGATTCTATTCCACGATTTAAGATACATATAAATATACTTTAAGTAGTTACTATATACTACTACTTAGTCGCAATCGCAAACAAAACTTTGTTATTTTGTATAAATCAAGCAAATAAAAAACAGTGTCGAACTAAAAAAAAAGTTGTCAAAATTAGTTAAATCATGATTAATAAGGTAATAAGTAGCTAGTACCTAAATGTAAAAAGTATATAAATTAATTAGTTTATATATAAATATATTGGTTGTTTTATATAGCTTGATAATTATAATAAAATAATAAAATCTATATAACTTACATTATAATTTAATAAATTAAATTTATAATATATTATTACTGTTATACTTGTACAGCTTGAAAGCAGACTTCAATAAATCTTAAATCGTGGGAAATACCATGGCTTAAGATAAACAGGTTACGAAACGCAGCTGTGATTATTGAGGCTCTAGTAGTCTAGTCTGTCAATTCTCGGATACCAGCGAGAATGATACCCAGCGCTCCATGCGGTACTATTTAGCTTTATTTATAATTTTCCATGATACTTTTTGATTTTGCTATGTATTTTAGTTTTAACTTGCCCAGTAAACAACACAATATTTTAAGATTTTTTTTGTTGTTTTACATAAAAAACAATTAAAATATATAAATACAACACGAATAAATGATAATATAAAACATTTATTAACACATTTTTTAAACATTTATTAACCTAACTGGATACAAGTTTTGAAAGTTTCTTTTTGGCTCTATTAATTTTATTTTATTTTTGATTTTCAACGTATGTAAATTGCCTCATACGCATTGTWATGTATATCGTGAAGATATCTGTAATGATTTCATATTTATAAATTGAACATGAGAATGTCAGGCTTGTCACATGAAGAAAAAATTCATTGTAAGTACTTTCAAAGACATCACCAGCACTTGCATGTTTACAAAAGCAAGTTTCCAATACTTTTAATATTTTATATAAGTTACCACTAGGATGAGTTAGAAATCCTTTACTTTTTAAATTTACCAACTCTGATTCCATAGGTACCTAAATTACCATCGCTTTTTAAATTTTTTACACATACTTCACACTTAGATTTTTTACACAGTCGTCGAGCTAAGTACCTGCAGATTAATTTTTGTAATCTTTATTCTAAATCCCAAACATCATGACAAATAATATATAATTTGTCATGCCAAATATCCATTATCCAATAATGAAAATTCGCGGGTAAATATTTAAAGATAACATTGATAATAAATAAAATTGTTTTTGGCCGCAGGAACGCTAGCTACTATTCTCACACAGGCCATCAGCTGATTCAGCTGTTTATATACGAGAATCTTTGGGCATCATTTCTGTTGTATAGTTTTAATGGGTAGTTTCGTAACCTGTTTATCTTAAGCCATGGTATTTCCATAATATATTTGATTCCCTAATCTCTGATTAAATCTGACGGTTATCACTTATCATGAAATCAATTTAAACGAACAATTGATATTATGAATACATTGACTATTGAAGTATTGAGTATTATTTTTATTAAATTTAGTATTTGCTACCCAAAGTTTTGGTTACTTTTACTAATCTTCAAGTGTTAACTAAATTTTGTTTTTATTCAGCTAATTTCCTAATTAAAATTACAACCTGTAGATCTTGCTCAATGTTAATTATCTTAATTTAGTTCTGAGTGACTATGTCAAGTATAACTACTAAGGCGTTTTACGGTTCATCAAAACGTAGTTCGTTCCATTTAATACCATCAACATCTACATCTAAAAAGGTTAGACGAGAACCATGCCATTTAATTAATGTTAAACGATTGCTGGGACCTCCAATTGGCTGGAAAAACTTTCCCAGGCAACAAGAAGCACTAGACTATGCGAGAACTAAGTCAAATGGTTGTATGTCCTTTACATATGAACAAAGTAATGGTCAACGATATTTTATGGTTGCTCATCCTGAAACCTTTTGGTACTACGACTCTCGTAAACCACAAAATGAAAGACATACTTATGAGATCATACCAGAAAATGATCCATGCAAATTATACTTTGATTTAGAATTTAATCGAAATGAAAATCCAGAATCAAATGGCATAAAAATGTTAGAAACCTTTGTCAAAATTATTATTATGTTTATCAAACAAAAATTTGATATAGTGTGCAAAGAAGAAGATGTTCTTGATTTAGATTCATCCACTGCAGAAAAGTTTAGTCATCACTTGATCTTTCAATCCATTGTATTCTCTAATAATTGCCAAGCCGKCTATTTTGTTAGATTTATATGCTGTGAAATAAAAAAGTTTTTKTCAGAAGATCACTGTCTAGAAGATAATGGATGTTTTTACAGTGGGATAACTACCAGAGATCTTATAAGTTTAAAAATTCAACAAGGATTATTTTGTGATGAAAGTGTGTATTCAAGAAACAGACATTTTAGATTATATAAGTCATCAAAATTTAAAAAGAATATTCCATTAGTCCTGAGCACTATTAACAAGTTTAAACTTCCTGAAATGGCTCATTGTGAGGACTGTTTTGATAAACAAATATTCCTAAAGTCYTTAATAACATTTGGTTGTGATAATAATGTATTATTGAATTTCACAAATGTGACAAGTCAAATTGTTGCAGAATTACATGACCGGGTACATCTTAATAATAAAAATCAAGGTGCATGTCAGTCATCTTATAAAAGTTCTCCTTTTCCGAAAATAGATAAGTTTATCTCCGATCTTGTATTTCCTGGAAACATTTTCAAAAACCATTATTTTCCTTCAGTCAACAAATTAGTTTACAGTATTGTTAAAAACCGTTATTGTGGAAATGTTAAACGGCAACACAAAAACAATAATGTTAAGTACATAGTGGATTTGAATGAAATGTATTGGTATCAAAAATGTTACGATCCTGACTGTGAACAGTATCGATCAAATGGCACTAAGTTACCAAATGAAATTTGTTTTGAGTATGCAAATCATACAGTTGATGATTTATCGGATAGCCAATTACTAAAAGTCGCAGATGCTGTTCAATTATAAATTAATTATATTAAACAATCAATGAATAATTTATACTATCTATACCTAGTGAATGTTTATACATAATTTAAAAAAATATTGTTATAGACTAAGCAATAATTATTTGTAGTTTGTAATAATCATAAACATCATTAAATATAATAAATAAATATGTGTATTTTTAAATGTGTTAAAAATATAAAGTACTAAATAAAAATAAAGAAATAATATTTAAATACATTTTAAATGGTATAATTGTATAGCCACAWGAGGTGCAACATATGCATTACTTAGATTAAATTAATTTTTTATAAATTTTATATAGACAAGTCCAACTAAAGAGCAAGCCTCAATTATAATAATGAGTACAAGCATGAGTTTATCTTGGAAARCATGTCTATTAATAGCAGAGACATAACGGTGTGAAGATATTCTTGAACTATCAATGTCCTCCAATCGATTGCGGGTACCATGAAGTGTTTGTCTTTGTTCACCTAACTCTTGAACAATTGCAGAACCAATTTCTTCAGTTTCTATTGCAATAGATTTGATACTAGTCAAACGATCATTGGTACGTAACAATACTTTACGATTTTCTTCAAGGACTTCCATTGTAATGAGAGCTAAATGATACAATACATAATAAAAATTATCATTAGAAATGGCATTATAAAAACTTTTTGAACGATAATCAGATTTCATTTCATAATTTACGCTATCTTACCTGTGAGTTGTAGTAGTCATAAACTAAAGCATTTAAGCCCTAAGAGTTCATCTCTACACAACGATTATAAAACAATGACACAAGTTCATCAACGACGTGGAGAAATTCTAATTTCTATTTAATTAGCAATGGATTAGATCTTCCGTGTTAAATATACTTAACTTACAATCAATGAACTAAAAGAGTTTCAGACGTTCCAGTTTCCAGTACTTCACTACTTTATTACCTACATCCTACAATACCACACCATTACAACTTACACAATAGGTATTTTACAGAGTACAGACCTTTATTATCTATGGTAGTATGGTCTATAGTTGTAAGTTCTATACTAAAGTACTACTAACTAAATTTCGCCACAGRGCACAACTGATTAATATGTTATTATGAAAATGATATTATCTATGGTATAAGGTTTATGGCATGATTAAATAAATCATGGTTCTAACCACAGTCATGATAAGATCCAAGATTCATAAATCATAAGCACGGACTATGATTATAATGGACTGGGAGGCTATTCAGAAACTCATACGAAAAAGATCCGTATACGAACGATTCACACGATTCACTTTCGTATACGAATGGAAAATAGTATTCACAAAACATTTATATTCGTATACGAATCTGTGATCCGTATGGAAATAATTTTTCCACGATTAACAGCGGCGTGTATTTAAATACACGTAATAATAGGAGTTTTTTTCCAAATTGTACACGCATCTGACGGCCGAATCCCTAGGAAGCATGTATGTTTATTAGTTTAKTAACTAAGTAATTCTTGAAAATGTGTACAAATTCAACATTTCGCTAATCACTACAAAATTTGCGATACTTTAGAAAAATAAACAAATCTAACTTATGGAAGTACCTATATGACTCAACTATACCTCGAATTGAATAAGTTTCAAAAGTTTTCAACTGGCCTATAAAAAAGGATCTACTGCTGAATGCTCGTGTCTAGGAGCAGCATTGGCATTTTCTTCTACTTGTTAGAGGACTTCCACGCCGGAAAGCAATTCATAAAAATCTAAATCGTCCATCGTTAGATTTTAAATTTAAAATAATAAAAAAAACTCAACAAAATGAAAAAAAACACGTTAAACTTTGAAACAAGTCACGGGTGTGCAGGTATACAGTATACACACGGTGCGATTGTTAGCGTTGCACTGCAATAATGTTTAGAAATGTAATTGTAAACTCGCTAAAATTTAACTTTTTGATGACAAAATTATAACTGGGATATATAGGTATATCAGAGACGACTTAAACAAGACGATAAGTAAACTGTTTGTAGATAAAAACGGTCAACACAATCAACGTTTGATTATGATTTATGAGTATA